GGGAGATGACAAGCCGCAATCCCTTCTCCTCCATTCTCCTCTTGGGATCTTGGGCGCACATGCACACGCGCCCGGCGTGAGTTTAAGCCACCGGATCCGGGACTGGAACCACAGTCAACTACTTGGGAGTCCAGCGACATAGCCATTACGCTAACTGCTGATCCCAACCTGCATAGTTTTTATATAGCATGAAATTCACACAAGTATTCTATGTAATCGTAATGAAATGTAATCTCACTTTTAGTGAAGGGATTCACTTTATTAAATAGGATAACCATTTTTTAAAATAGATTATTCATACCATCCATAGACAACTGTGATGTCATAAACACCACACATTAATTAGATCCTTGGAAGGTAAGTGAAGACCTGGTGTGTGGTTGACCTACTTATTCAGAATCACATCAGTTAAGGGAAGTCTTTGGATGGATGGAGGAGGTGGGGGGCGATAAGGAGCTGAGTGCACCCTGAGATTCTGCATTGCTACATCTCGCCACCTCCCAGGGGTATTTTTCAAAGACTTCTCTTTCTTTGAGATGTTTTGTTGTTGTTGTTAATTTCTTTAATGTTTTTAAGAGACATCTAGAACTAGGTCATGGTTGTGAACATTTTTACTAAAGTACTTGTCCTCATATGACTAAATCTAAGAAGGAATTCTTTGTAAGAAAATTTAATGTAATGACAAAAAAAGAACAGCTGTTCTAGCCAATGTTTCTAAAGCTTGTCTCCCAGCATGAGAAATGCCCCAGGCCACCATGATGGCTGCTCTTAGCCTACATCTAAGCTTTGCTGATTGAGGAAATGATTAGATTAAATCCCCTCTTAAGGGCTCCTCTTAGGTAATGAGTCATTGAGCTCAATGGCTTCCTAATTTCTAAGATCTTTTCATTTCTTTTTGTTTTTTTCTTTTGAGGGGTGAGAGGTTTTTGTTATAGTGTGCATGCATGCATTTGCCAGAAAGAGAGGGAGAGATAGAGAGACAGAAAGTAAGAAATCACCCCCCAAGGGGGTATGGCCACGCCACAATCCCTTCTCCTCCATTCTCCTCTCGGGATCTTGGGCACGCACACACATGTGCCCAGCATGAGTTTAAGCCATTGAGTCCGGGACTCGAACCACAGTTAACTACATGGGAGTCCAACGACATAGCCATTACACCAACTGCTGGTCCCAGATCTTTTCACTTCTATGTACATCTCATTTGTGTTTGACTATAGAATACAAGTAAACTTGTTATGTTATTAGCTTATAAACAACAGACTTAGAAACATCAGACTTCTAGAGTCCAGAAGTCCTAGATCAGGGTACCACTGTGGCTGGGTTCTTAGGAGGGCCCTCTTCAGGGCTACTAACTGCATTCTTTTCATTGTATCCTCGCATGGTTAAAAGGGTGAATTTGCTCTTAAATGTTTCAGAGGTAATAAGTGAAAACTTTTTTTTGAACTGCTGAAGGGTACATGTGCTTGCCAGAGAGTGAAAAAGTATCTTCGGATGGGGTCCTTTTTCTTCCATGCCATCAGGATTGGGGGCACACACACTTGCCCAGTGTCGTTGTCAAGTTGCTTGGGCCAGTTCCAATTGCTCTCAGCTGTGGAGTACGTGGCTTACTATGCAGAGGCTTAGCTGCTGTTCTATGGGGCTAGCCCAAAAACTTATTTAAAGACATCAAATGTAATCAAGCTCTAGGCTCCTAGTAGGTAAAACATTTAATTTCTGTAGTATTTCAGTATACTGAAGAACACAGAACCAAGGGCCTCTGGAGCCCCCACTCTTCATTTCAAGGTGCCCAAGAACCACGTGCCAATCTCTCAGAGGTTCTCTTGGGCCCCCCGCTCACAGTGAAAGGCATGTACCTACCATTTGCACAAACTGCCGTTATTAAGCCCTTCCTTAGTCCTGAGAAGGCTGATCGTCTCCCTCTCAAGTGGACTCACCAATATAATTTCTCCACCTTTCGCTCCTCTTCACCTCAACCCTACCACATCAGAAGGGTTCTTTTCATGTTTCAGACCTTAGGAGTCCTGAAAATCAAACAATCAGACATGTGTACAACCTCTCTAAAGGATAGGGGAGTTGTTGGGAGGTCAGGATGGAAGGTTTGTTGAGGTATGGATGAATGATGTATTTAAAAGTCAGACTTAAATTCAGTGTCTCTCTCCTGGAGTAAGGAGAGGGAAAAAGAGGTGCTGACTTTCTCTTCTGGTGGGTCAGCAATAGCAAATAAACAACGAAAACACAAGCCAGTGCTCTTCTTCATAAGACCCTGTTGCTCCTATCCAGGCGATTGTCACAGCCTGGTGCATTCACTCAGGACAAACTGAATTTTTTGATGCAAATCACTTGAATCACTCTGCCAGGTTTTGGGGGTATGGCAGGGAGCAGGGTGTACACACAGCACTTGGCCCTGATAGAGATAACAATCTAGTGGGCTGTCAGGAAGTAAAGTAGGAGAACAAATCCTTGTAAGTCATAATTGGGAAGAACTATTTTAGGCAATATTCAAAGAAAGCTGCCAAGGAGGTGATGTTTAGGCAGAGGCGTGAAAGCTGAGGAGGACTGTGGAGTACCGTTCCAGCAGTGCGGTTTGCAGGCCCTAAATAGGGGAAACGATTGGCTGGTTTTAGGAGTAGAAAGTAAGTCAGCATCGTCTGAGCCTAACAAGGAACGGTAGGAGGAAGGTATGGGAGGCAAGAAAGCTAGGCTGGAGCTGGCAGGACGTGGGAGGCCGAGGAGTAGAATTTGAATTTCCTTCAAGTCCCTGGAAGATTTTAAGTAACGATTATGAAGTCTGCTAAATGTTTAAAGAGCGCTCTGGCTATTGTGTGGAGACTGAGTTGGACAAGAAAGAAGTGCTCAGTTTTATACACATTAGCACATCTGCCACATAGGGAGATTTTCACAAACTGAGAGGATTCCCCTGTCACCTGCCTAGTCTTCCCACCACTCCACTCGCCTCCAGACCCCTCCTCCCAACCCAGAGCCACTATGGTGGGCTAGTCCCAGTGGGCAGAGAAGAGAAAAAGGTGGCTCAGGGTTTGTGGGAAAACATCACCTCTGCATCATTGTACTGACCCGTCTCTCCCCTTAAATGCTGCTTGGTGCCAATAGTGGGTTGGACAGCATTGTTTTTGTCCGTTGGGGTCAGAGATAAGAAGAAAGTGGCATTTTGCCCGGCCTTTCCAGTTACTCATGCTGAATCTAGTTTCTGATATTTAAGGCGTCTTCTTGTGAAAAAAAGAAAATAAATTCTCTATTTCCTGCTAAATTTAAAAATATCTGTTTAAGACCAACTAGTAGAGTGGTGGTAAGACAGCTAGATCCTACATGGCTGACCATACAGTTTGAATCCTGGACCCGGTGGCTTGAAAAGCACGCTTGCAATTGAGTGGGTGTATGCATGAAATCCCAAAAGGAGGGAGAAGTGGAGGAGGAGAAGAGATTATGACATGAACATCTCCGCCCCACCTTGGAGTGGGGGATGTTTTCTCACTTTCTCTTTCTCTCCTCCCCACCCCCACAGTGAGCACCTAAAGCCCTTGGGCAAATTTTTTTTTTAATGTATCTATTAGGTTGTCAGAAAAACCACTAAGCATGTTTGCATAGAAAAGTACGTCAACCTAATATTTAAACCTATTATACTCAAATTATTGTATGGATACTTCTAAGATACAGTGAGAAATCATGTTTGTATTCTTTGAGCACTCTCTTAAACTAACTCCAACTCCAAATATGAATTATTCATTCATCTTATAGACACCTGTAGAGATTTCATGAATGATTAACTTTCCCTGACAACCTAAAGAGGTCCTTCTTATTATATGCATTTTACAGATGAAGAAACTGAGGCACAGAGTGATCTCATAACTAGGATTCACAGTATTCAAAATCCGTGTCTCCAAAATCCATGCTCTTAACTCCTGTCCTTGGATTAGCTAGGGATTTTTTTTTTCTTTTTAAATTTTAACTTCCAAGTTCACTCAGCTGGACTGCATAGAGAAATTCTTTATCTTGGGACCAGCAGTTAGCATAATGGCTATGTTGCTGGACTCCCATGTAGTCGACTGCGGTTCAAGTCTTGGACCTGGTGGCTTAAACTCACGCCAGGCACGTGTGTGTGCGTGCCCAAAATCCTGAGAGGAGAAGGGAAGAGAAGGGATTGTGGGGTGACCGTCCCCCTGGGGAGTGATTTCTCGCTTTCTGTTTCTCTGTCTCTCTCTGTCTTTCTGGTGAGCGCACGCGCCCTATAGCAAAAACCTCTCCAAAAAAGACAAAAAAAAAAAAAAGGAAATTCTGTATCGCTCCAGCCTGACATTGATTTTGTTTGTTTGTTTCAAAGGATTATTGGGACCCTGCAGAATTCTGCTGAGTTTTCGGAGGCCTTTCACTGCCGCAAGAACTCATATATGAACCCAGAAAAGAAATGCCGGGTGTGGTGATCTTCAAAAGCTGCAGCACAGCCCCAGGCTAGACTCGCCAACACCACGGAAGTGAGAGACTCTCTAGCCGAGAGAAAATGGGCCCTAGAGCTCACTACAGTTACTTGGGGTTAATTAACAGAAATGAGAGCATGGTCATCCAAAGAATGTTAGATTATTCTGGAAAGTATGTGGATGGAGGAGAGGATCTAAGGTCTATCAAATCAATCACTTTTCACTGTGTAAATAATGCGTCATTTCTAAAGATGATATATTATCATTCACTTCTGTTTCTCAGATGGCCTGTCAGTTTGATGTTCCTAGACAACAGTGTTTAACCCCTTGAGGTAGACCAGGATTTCTAACCAGAGGGAGAAAAAAGATGTTGAAGGATACCGTGGGCCACCAGAAGCACAGCAATGTCTTGGTAGCTTCAAATACTGCCTCAGTACTTGTTTTTACTTTTATTTGCAACATGTATGCGCCTTCAAAACCCTTCCAAAGAATTCTGACACATGTTGGAGCCATGGGGCTTATATCGTTTTAAACCCATTTTTGCCATGCCTCAGTTACTCATTTTTGTGATTTTTGTATTCTTCTCTTAAAGCAAAAACCAATGTCTAACACTGTTTTATGTTGTACCTGCTTTGACTGATACTGAGATTCTTGAGGGCCCTTGCAATTTTCTAAGCAATTTCTTGTTCTCTGTATCTTTCAGCACTTGGTCTTTTTAAGAGATTTGTAGTAATGTATAAAAAATAATTTTTATATTTAATTGTTAACTACATTTATGACTGAGTAACGGTTATTATAGCTAACCATTGAATATTGAAGTTTTAGAACAAGATAAACAGTTATGAGCCAAGATCTGTAAAGTTATGTACAGATGAAAATTTGAGACTTTTTAAAATTATAAATCATATTGATGTAAAGCTTTAAACACAAACTTCGAGATAAAAATTGCCGTTGAACAGTTGCCTAGAGGTATATAATGGAGATTATAATACTTGTGGTTTATGAACGGAATTTTCAAAATTAAACCTCTGTAGCTCCACATCTTATCTTTTCAGGTTTGTCATCTGATGAAAATATTTTGATAATAAATGGAAATTGTGAGCCCATTACCTACTAAGCCTGTGTGCTAGCTGTCCAGCTTTAGGCATTTCTGAAGAAAAACAGAAACCCCTCTATTCATGGACTTGCTTCTGGGATTCTAAGTCATGTAGAATTCCAGAAGTCATGTAGAGTATCTAAGTCCCTGATAGGAACTCATCTCCTGGGGTTTTTTTGTTGTTGTTTTATTATCTGTTTGTTTTTGGTTTTTTTGTCATAGTGTGTGTGCCCTCACCAGAGATAGAGACACAAACACAAAGAGAGGGAAAGTGAGAAATCAACCCCCAGGGGAGATGGCTATGCTGCAATCCCTTTTCCTCCATTCTCCTCTCTAAATTTTGCGCATGCGTGCACATGTGCCTGGTGTGATTTTCAAGCCACTGGATCCAGGACTCAAACCACAGTTGGCCATGTGGGAGTCCAGTATCCTATCCACCACCTCACCTGCTGGCCCAGAACTCATCTCTTGAAACGTATATATTTTTTTCTTTTCCTGTTCTCTTGTCTAGTTTGTTTTATTACCTGATCAAGATTTACAAAAGAGGTGCAATTGCAACATCTTTATTTTTTTCTAACAAAAAGTAGAAATAGGGGAATTTCTAAAATATGAGTATATGTTTTCCTGCCTCTTGAAAAATGCCCACTTACTTTTTAAAAACCTTTATTGAGGCCCAACAATGGTGGCGCAGGTGGTAGGGTGCCATTGTATGATACTGAAACCATATGACAGGATCAGTTTCAGATCCTGGGCCAACCTAGACATTCCAGGCACACAGTGCATGTATACAATTATAGCTGACTGGGAAACTGAGGCATGAGGATGGTGGCATGGTGAGAGCCTGTTGAAAATATCTTCCTCTCATAAAAATTTTATTAAAATGTGGCATCCATATGTGCAAAAATTCCTACAGTGTAAGTGTATAGCTTAGTGATCTTACCTCAAATGAGCATAGCTCAGTAGTCAGAACCTGTAAGAACGAGCATACCAGAATCATCAGATGATGTAGTGGTTACATCGCTGGACTCCCACCTGGTCGACCACAGTTCGAGTCCTGGACCTGACAGCTTGAAACTCACACCAGGCACATGTGCGTGCATGCTCAAAATCCTGAGAAAAGAATGGAGGAGAAAAGATTGCAGCATGTCCACCACCCCGGGAGAGATATCTCACTTTCTCTCTGTCTCTCTGGCAAGCACATGTACCCTATCACAAAAATCGTTCTAAAACTAAAAAAAATATAAGAAAAGAGCATATTACCATCTCACAACCCCCACCTCCACCTTGTCACTTCGTTCCTCCAAGGACAATTACTATGCTGATTCTAACATACAGTAGCCCTGCCTGATTTGTCTTTTATATAAATAGAACCAATCAGTACATATTCTTTCATGCCTGGACCTTTCTCGCAGCCTTACATTTATGCGATTCATCTATATTATTGCATTGATTATGGCGCTTTCATTCTTACAAATGAACAATATTCTATTGTATGAGTATATTGCAGTTCATCCACCCTATTGTTGGCGGGCACTTGAGAAGTTTCCAGTTTAGAACTGTTGCAAATAGTGCGACCCTAAATGTGCTTGCATTTTATCTCTACTTGAGCTCTTACTGGACTCATTCCCCCAAGTCCTTCCAAACATTATTATAAAATGTTGAATATGTAGTTTCAGACTAAACATGAAATCCTTTTCCTTTTCCCCTCCATCACAACTGCCATGATCAGATAATACAAAGTACACTTATATCTATATTTTCTTAAAATAAATTTAAAACATGAAGTGCTATTGGTAGTTGGAGTAATAGCTCCCAGCTCTGAATAAATGTCATCTCTGAGTTACTTTACTCTCAACTTAGCAGAGCAGGTGAAGAGTCAAATATGAAAAGTGACTTGTATGAATTATAAAAAGCCACTAGATTCCCCACTGTTAGCTCTTAAAATCAGGCTCCCATCCCTATGAGGGAACAACTCTCTAGTCCCTGGGTCCCCTCTCTCTAAGCATGTATGGTTTTATTTTCTTGTTCTAGGGGGCTGAAGGGAGAGGATTTTACTATAGGGCATGTGTGCTCACCAGAAAGATGGAGAAAGACAGAAAGTGAGAAATCACCTCCCAGGGGGGATGGCCATGCCTCAACCCCTTCTCCTCCATTCTTCTCTTGGGATCTTGGGCAGGCACGCACACACGCCTGGCATGAGTTTAAACCACCGGTTCGGGGACTCGAACTGTGGTTGACTACATGGGAGTCCAGCGACATAGCCATTACGTCAACCGCTGGTCCCCTGTATGTATGGTTTTCTGCAGCTAAGGGATAGATGGAAGCCAGCATGGCAATACCTCCCTATCCCCCACACATCCAGACAGTGTTAGTACATGCTTTCCTTGTCGAGTCCTGTGGAGCCTATGATCTCTCCTAGCTATGACCAGTCGTTTGGAATTGTCACATCAGGTAAGATCTGTCTATTATCTCACACCTATGTCCAGTAATACTGTAACTGGGTTCTGTTCAGTTAAAGAGTTTAGCAGAGAGACACCAGGGGTTGAGAACTGATATAAACCAGAAACGAGGAGAGGAAGATGCTCTCGGCAACGGACATTGGTAAGGAGTCTACCTCTGTACCACTGTGCTCACGCGGAGGCAAGGGGAAAGGATGCTGTCCTGGGAGGACAGTCCTTGGTCTAGTCTTGTTCTGCTCCTACTGACAAAGTGACCTTTGCATGATGTATTCTTTTGGGCCTCTGCTTCTATCACCTGAAATAAAAGAGAAATAGATTTTGATCCCGGTTCTCAGCAAGAGAAGCAATATGTGCCCAATGATGCCTTTCCCATAGTCTGTCTCCAGTTAAGAACCACTGGGCAGGGACCAGCAGTTAGCATAATGGCTATGTCGCTGGACTACCATGTAGTTGACTGCAGTTTGCGTCCCGGACCCAGTGGCTTAAAACTCATGCCAGGTACGTGTGTATGCGTGCCCAAGATCCCAAGAGGAGAATAGAGGAGAAGGGATTGCGGCGTGGCCATCCCCCCGGGGGGTAATTTCTCGCTTTCTGTCTCTGTCTCTCTCTGTCTGCCTGGCGAGTGCACGTGCCCTATAGCAAAAAAACCTCTCCCCATCCCCACTCCCACCCCCCACCCCCAAAAAAAACACTGGGCAAGATAATCTCAAAACTCCCACACTCCCACTCCCACTGAAATGCCTAAGTCCGATTAGACCACATTTTAGTCCAAAACACAAGGAGCAAAGCTTTATCAAGTTAAGGTCTGCGCTACTGTTAATATTAGGTAGTTGAATGGCACAAAAGCTTGCTAATTTTTCAAAAGTATTTGTCATGCCACAGATAGCGCTCTCAAAGTAGAAGATAATCTGTTAGTTTGGGAAGAAAATATGACTCCACTCTGTCAAGGATGGACCATCAGAAATTTTTATCAGATTTCAGGCTCAAAAGTACAACGTTAAATATCTTCCTTTTTTTATAGAATTATTTTTAATCCACGTTATTTATTTCTTTAATTTGACCAGAGAGGGACAGAGTGAGAGAGAGAGAGACAGAGAGAGGAGGGAAGTGAGAAAGCAAGTCACCAGGTCCGGGACTCAAACCACAGTCAGCTATGTGGGAGTCCAGAGCCCTTACCTACCACACCACCCACCAGCCTCAACATTGAATACCTTTTATACTATTGCTTTTACACTTACTTGACTCTGTTTCAACTCCAATCCCTTTATAAAATGTCTATCCCATTTATGTCTTTAAAAATGCTAAGTCTAGAGAACCAGCAGTTAGCGTAATGGCTATGTCGCTGGATTCCCATGTAGTCGACCATGGTTCGCGTCCCGGACCCGGTGGCTTAAAACTCACGCCAGGCGCGTGTGCATGTGTGCCCAAGATCCCGAGAGGAGAATGGAGGAGAAGGGATTGCAGCGTGACCATCCCCCCTGGGGGGTAATTTCTCGCTTTCTGTCTCCCTGTCTCTCTCTGTCTGTCTGGCGAGTGCACGCTCCCTATAGCAAAAACCTCTCAAAAAAAAAAAAAAATGCGAAGTCTAAATGGAGCTTTTATCTCTACATAATCTTGTACATCCTGCTAGCTTCAAATGATATCTTTTAAAATGAATGTTATAAATCATTTTATTAATATTTTCTTGTCATCGCCACCCCGCCTTCCAAAGATAGCCATAGTTTACTGATTGAAATCGTTTTCAAAAGTTAACTTACATGGTTGCCAAATGTTATAGAGAAAAATTAGAGCATTTAGAAAAAAATCAAAAGTAAGTGTCTTTGTTCACTGACTCCGAGCTGAGGAGCTTGACCGTTTTCTTGCTCTGGTAAAGAAAGGGACCAGGTACAACCGGCGTCAAAATGGCACATGTTTATTGCTTTCAGTCTTTTCTCTGTTTTCTTCCTTCTAATTCCTAGTATTTTGTATTTTCCCTGAAACACTGGAAAACACTACTGTCATTTGCAACCTCAGAGACAAGATGCTGTGCTTCTATTTTGACAAAACTGATCTTTTCAGTTGTGTAAGGGAAGCTGGGCAGAAAAATAAACATTGGCTCTTACTGGAAATAATGATGATCCTGAGCCTGGGAAGCGAAGAAAGACTGAAACTGTTTATGATTAACTTATGCACTCCTGAGTGTCCTTCCTACCCCAAAACCAACAATCTAACAGTTTGTGCAGGTCTCGGGCATATTAATATCCTTTCTTTTTTTTTTTTTAGCAGATTTTTAAAAATTTGCTATAGGGTGCATGCACTCACTGAGGAGAGAGAGAAAGAAACAGAGAAAGCACTTCCCAGAGGGGATGGCCACCACCCTACAGTCCCTCCTTTGGCATTCTTCTCTCAGAATTTTGGACATACATGCACACTTGCATGGTATGCTTTTCAAGCTGCCATGTATGAAGCTCACATCCCACAGTTGCCCTTGTGAGATCCGGCTGCCTTAACCATCATGCCATCGGCTGGTCCCACCAAATTGTTTCTGTTTCTCTTTTTAATTGCCAGAGGGTACACAT